CAATTTTTTAATTTTTGGGAAAAATTGAAATTAATTAAAAGGTTAAGGAATTATAAAACTTACAGAGGGAAAAAAGGTTTTGAGGTGTTTGATTAGAAAATCAAAAAATACGGGAACAAAATCTATAAAAAAAGGGAGGTGTCTGGGGGTTAAAAAAAAAAGGGGTTTTGGGGGCCTTGGCCCCGGGAAAGAGTGATGACAAATTATGGAGTATAGGAATTTTTTGACCTGACAATTGTGTAAAATATATTTATAAAGGGCCCAGGGAACCTTTTTCAAAACCGGGAAGGTTTGGGGATAATTGCTTTTAAGGAATTTTTACCCTAACTAAATTTTCAAACTTGAAACTACACTCTGAAAACATGATATAATTATTTTTGAAATTTATGTGAGAATTTTTCTTTAGGGGGATTTCTTTTTTTTTGGTCAATGATTGGGGAACCCATTTTGAAAAAAAAAAAAAAAAAAAAAAAAAAAAAAAAAAAAAAAAATTTTTTTTTTTTTTCAACAAGTCGGCCGTCTCCCACCGAGGCAGGGTGACCCAAAAAAAGAAAGAAAACCCCCAAAAAGAAAATACTTTCATCATCATTCAACACTTTCACCACACTCACACATTATCACTGTTTTTGCAGAGGTGCTCAGAATACAACTTTTAGAAGATATACTATAAGATACCAACATATCCCTCCAAACTGCCATATCCCAAACCCCCCTTTAAAGTGCAGGCATTGTACTTCCCATTTCCAGGACTCAACCCCGGGCATATGAAAATAACCGGTTTCCGAATCCCTTCACTAAATATTACCCTGCTCACACCCCAACAGTTCGTCAGGTCCCAAGTACCATTGTCTCCATTCACTCCTATCTGACACACTCATGCACCTTGCTGGAAGTCCAAGCCCCTTGCCCACAAAACCTCCTTTACCCCCTCTCTCCAACCCTTTTGGGACAACCCCTCCCCGCCTTCCTTCCCCTATAGATTTATATGCTTTTCCATGTCATTCTACTTTGTCCATTCTCTCTAAATGACCAAACCACCTCAACAACCCCTCTTCTGCCTCTGCCCAATACTTTTATTAACTCCACACTTTTCCCAATTTCCACACTCCAAAAATTTTTTGCATAATATTTACACCACACATTGCCCTTAAACAGGACATCTCCACTGCCTCCAACCCTCTCCTCGCTGCTGCATTTACCACCCAAGCTTCACCCCATATAAGAGTGTTGGACTACTTTTACTTTCATACATTCCCTTCTTTGCCTCCTAGATAACGTTTTTTGACTCCACATATTTTCCCCAACGCACCACTCACCTTTTTTCCCTCATCAATTCTATGATTAACCTCATCCTTATAAATCCATCCGCCACACTCAACTCCCAAGTATCTGAAAACATTCACTTCTTCCATACCCTCCTCCCAAATTTTTATATCTTATATAAATTAGATTCCTTCTTTTTTAATCTACTGTACCCCCAAACCATGGCCAAAAAAAATAAATTTTTCTTTTAAATTATAATTTTAAACAGGGAAAAGGGGTCTGTGTCCAATTTTAAGTGGGCCCATAATGCCAAGGGTAAAGGGAAATTTTTTTCACTTTTCCCATTAAAGAAATAAAAAAAACCCAAGAATTTGAAAGAAAATAAAAAAACAATAAATAAAAAGAATGGATGTCCCAAGTTTAATGAAACAAAGATGAATCTTGAATTTATGGGAAAAAAAGGGGAAAGCAATTCTGAAAGTTACAAAAAGGGGTACAATTAATTTGAAGATCATTGGACGGAGAAGAGGGTTTAAGTATAAAAAACAAATTAGAATTAAAAATAAATCAATGTAAATGGGTATAATAAAATTTTTGTAGCACTTTAAAAAAGGAAGGAGTGTAAGGAATAAGTTTTGGGAAATGTAAGCATTAAGGCCCCTTTTTAGCCCCCAAGTGAAATAATGTCATTGGACCTAAATCTAAATAAAAGAAGTTGGTTCAGTAGAAAAAAGGGGGTGGGTAGGGAAGTTTAAAGGGGAAAATAAATGGGGTTAATTGGGGGGTATTTGGGGAAGTTAGAGAAAGGGGTTTGTGTTAAGGAACCATTTTAAGAAAAGGGAAAAATAAGTAAAAAACAAGGGTTAATTATTAAAAAAAGGCAATTTAAAAGTGGGCATTAATTTTTAGATAAAAAGAATGTAAGAGGAGAAGTTTTGGAGGAAGCGTTTCAGAACTTTTAGTCTAGTAAAAAGAGTTAGGAGGGGGATAAATGGAAAATAGAAAGGTTAGAGAGGGTGGAGGTTTATAAATAAAAATGAATTGGGGAAAATTTAAAAAACTGTTGGGAAAGAGGGTGGGGTTTAAAGGAACAATGAAAAAAAGATTGGGTAAGTTTAAGATATATTTAGGGTAAAACAGAAATTTGTTGGACCATGAAAAGGGGTGGGGGGAAAAAAAGTGACTTCAGAATGAAATTTAAAGGGGAGTATAAGAGAAATTTATCATATGAGAGGGTTACAAAAAATGGAAAGGGAAGGAGGGAGGATTAAGGAAAAAAAAGAGAGGTTAAAAGGGTGGTTAAAAAAATGTTAAGACAAGCAAAGTGAGAAGGTGGGGGGGAGATTTTTAATTTTTAAAAATATTTGGGGTTTGAAAATTTGGGGAAAAAGTTTTGGGAGGGAGAATAGTGACGGAAATGGGAAGAAAGGATTTGGAAAAAAAAATTTTAAAGAGGGGGTTTTTAAAAGATGTAGCAAAGGACGGGGGAAAATGGAGGGAAAAAGAGGTTAAAAGTTGTGAAGCAAAATGTAAAAAACAGCAATAGGGTGGGGGAGGAATAACCAAAATTTGTTGAAAAGGGGAAAAGATGTTTTGGGTAGAATTTAAGTGAAAGCCAGGGGAATGGATGGAATTTAAAAATAAAAAAAGGGTTTTTAAAAAAAGGTGGGGTATGGAAAAAGGGGGATTTTTTAAATTATTAAAGTTAGAAGGGGTGGGAAGCTGGATTTCATGTATAGGGTAAGGAGGAATAACCAGTTGTGTGTGTAGGGAAAGTGCGCGTGGCAGTGGGTAGAATGTAAGGGGGCAAAGCAGCTGGGATTGATGGGATAAAGATAGAAATGTTAAAAGCAGGTGGGGATATAGTTTTGGAGTGGTTAGTGTTTTTATTTAATAAATGTATAGAAGAAGGTAAGGTACCTAAGGATTGGCAGAGAGCATGCATAGCTCCTTTGTATAAAGGCAAAGGGGACAAAAGAGAGTGTAAAAATAATAAGGAAATAAGTCTGTTGAGTATATCTGGTAAAGTGTATGGTAGAGATATTAGTGAAAGAATTAAGAGTAAAGTGGAGAGCAGGATAGCAGATGAACAAGGAGGCTTTAGGAAGGGTAGGGGTGTGTAGACCAAGTGTTTGCAGTGAAACATATAGGTGAACAGTATTTAGAAAAGGGTAAAGAGGCTTTTGTGGCATTTATAGATTTGAAAAAAGTGTATGATAGGGTGGATAGGGGGGCAATGTGGCAGATGTTGCAAGTGTATGGAATAGGAGGTAGGTTACTGAAAGCGGCGAAGAGTCTTTACAAGGATGGTGAGGCTCAGGTTAGAGTATTTAGGCGAGAGGGGGATTATTTCCCAGTAAAAGTAGGCCTTAGACAGGGATGTGTGATGTCACCATGGTTGTTCAATATATTTATAGATGGAGGTGTAAGAGAAGTGAATGCTTGGGTGTTGGCAAGAGGTGTGGGGTTAAAAGATAAAGAATCTAACACAAAGTGGGAGTTGTCACAGGTGCTCTTTGCTGATGATACTGTGCTTTTGGGAGATTCTGAAGAGAAGTTGCAGAGGTTGGTTGATGAGTTTGGTAGGGTATGTAAAAGAAGGAAATTAAAATTGAATATAGGAAAGAGTAAGGTGATGAAAATAACAAAAAAATTAGGTAACGGAAGATTGGATACCAGATTGGAGGGAGAGAGTATAGAGGTGAATGTATTCAGATATTTGGGAGTGGACGTGTCATCAGATAGGTTGTCTATGAAAAATGGAGTGAATCATAAAACTGATGAGGAGAAAAAGGGGAGTGAGGAGTCTGTGGAGATGAAGAACATTATCCATGAAAGCAGAGGGAAATGTATGAGAGTATAGTTATACCAACACTTTTGTATGGGTGTGAGGCATGGGTGGTGAATGTTGCAACAAGGAGAAGTCCGGAGGCAGTGGCGATGTCATGTCTGAGAGCAATGTGTGGTGTGAATATAATGCAGAGAATCCGTAATTCGGAGATTAGGAGGAGGTACAGGATTACCAAAACTATTATCCAGAGGGCCGAGGAAGGGTTATTGAGATGGTTTAAGACATGTAGAGAGGATGGAACAAAACAGAATGACTTTGAGAGTATACAAATCTGTAGTGGAGGGAAGGCGGGGTAGGGGTCGGCTTAGGAAAGGTTGGAGGGAGGGGGTAAAGGAGGTTTTGTGTGCAAGGGGCTTGGACTTCCAGCAAGCATGTGTGAACATGTTAGATAGGAGCAAATGGAGACAAATGGTTTCTAGGACTTGACGTGCCATTGGAGTGTAAGCAAGGTAACATTTATGAAGGGATTCAGGGAAACCGGCAGGCCAGACTTGATTCCTTGAGATGGGAAGTACAGTGCCGGCACTCTGAAGGAGGGGTGTTAATATTGCAGTTTTATAACTGTAGTGTAAGCATGCCTCGGGCAAGACAGTGATGGAGTGAATGATGATGAAGGTTTTTTTTCTTTTTTGGGCTACCCTGCCTTGGTGGGAGATGGCCGATGTGTTAATAAAAAAATACAGTTGAAAAGGTTACTAGCCCTTTGCTCCTGGTATTTTAGTCGCCTCTTATGACTCACATGACTTATGGAGAAAGAATTCTGTTCCACTTCACCATGGAGAAAAAATGTATGTATACATTATATTTATTCAGACTCACACACATAAAAATTGCAACAAGTATAAGGGTTATGCAGGAGAGAGAGAGTTTCCCTACTGACTTCTACCTTGAGGACACCGAGGATCAAGAGTATTGCAGTTGTGGTGTGGAACACTCTCACAAGATATCCTTGCTGCATGACCTGCCATGGATGTCACACCCAACACAGATGCACCCCAGTGCTCTCCCTCCAAGAGACCCTGCAAATATTTAAAATAAGTATCAAATAAAGGAGGCACCCCCCAGTCAGTTGCAGGAGGGCCCAATGAATATTACAGTAGATATCAATGGATAACTAATGTGTAATGAACACTTGTCAATGCTCAATAATAACCCATATGGGTTATTTTTGAGCATTACAGTGAAATTTTAAGAGGTGATTTAGCCACAACCACTCGCTTCACTGCAGATCTTACTGCCAGTGGCTGTCTGTCTCTTCCTGACCTATGGAAAGTAAAATCCAATTCTTTTTTATCACTGGTTTTCAATATGACAGGGTGGATAGGGGGGCAATGTGGCAGATGTTGCAGGTGTATGGTGTAGGAGGTAGGTTACTGAAAGCAGTGAAGAGTTTTTACGAGGATAGTGAGGCTCAAGTTAGAGTATGTAGGAAAGAGGGAAATTATTTCCCAGTAAAAGTAGGCCTTAGACAAGGATGTGTGATGTCACCGTGGTTGTTTAATATATTTATAGATGGGGTTGTAAGAGAAGTAAATGCGAGGGTCTTGGCAAGAGGCGTGGAGTTAAAAGATAAAGAATCACACATAAAGTGGGAGTTGTCACAGTTGCTCTTTGCTGATGACACTGTGCTCTTGGGAGATTCTGAAGAGAAGTTGCAGAGATTGGTGGATGAATTTGGTAGGGTGTGCAAAAGAAGAAAATTAAAAGTGAATACAGGAAAGAGTAAGGTTATGAGGATAACAAAAAGATTAGGTGATGAAAGATTGGATATCAGATTGAAGGGAGAGAGTAATAGAGGAGGTGAATGTATTCAGATATTTGGGAGTGGACGTGTCAGCGGATGGGTCTATGAAAGATGAGGTGAATCATAGAATTGATGAGGGGAAAAGGGTGAGTGGTGCACTTAGGAGTATGTGGAGACAAAGAACTTTGTCCTTGGAGGCAAAGAGGGGAATGTATGAGAGTATAGTTTTACCAACGCTCTTATATGGGTGTGAAGCATGGGTGATGAATGTTGCAGCGAGGAGAAGGCTGGAGGCAGTGGAGATGTCATGTCTGAGGGCAATGTGTGGTGTGAATATAATGCAGAGAATTCGTAGTTTGGAAGTTAGGAGGAGGTGCGGGATTACCAAAACTGTTGTCCAAAGGGCTGAGGAAGGGTTGTTGAGGTGGTTCGGACGTGTAGAGAGAATGGAGCGAAACAGAATGACTTCAAGAGTGTATCAGTCTGTAGTGGAAGGAAGGCGGGGTAGGGGTCAGCCTAGGAAAGGTTGGAGGGAGGGGGTAAAGGAGGTTTTGTGTGCGAGGGGCTTGGACTTCCAGCAGGTATGCGTGAGCGTGTTTGATAGGAGTGAATGGAGACAAATGGTTTTTAATACTTGACGTGCTGTTGGAGTGTGAGCAAAGTAACATTTATGAAGGGGTTCAGGGAAACCGGCAGGCCGGACTTGAGTCCTGGAGATGGGAAGTACAGTGTCTGTACTCTGAAGGAGGGGTGTTAATGTTGCAGTTTAAAAACTGTAGTGTAAAGCACCCTTCTGGCAAGACAGTGATGGAGTGAATGATGGTGAAAGTTTTTCTTTTTCAGGCCACCCTGCCTTGGTGGGAATCGGCCAGTGTGATAATAATAATAATAATTTCAATATTCTGAAGTCTTCACTTATCAAATTCATGAAACCTCATACACTAAATTTTATTATTCTTTTCAAAACAGGGTCATTAAAATAAATAGAACAAAAATAGAATATTATGAGAAACATGAAAAATGCCACACAAAAATATTTGCTCATCAGTACCTATAGATGTTGCCCTTTTGCAATTTGTATTCACAATTACTATACTGTATGTGTATTACATGTAGAAAATATATGTATCATGTTGAGTTGAGGAACATGATGTAACTCGCGAGAATACAGAATTACAAAACACACAAATACAGGTATAGTACCATACCTGTATCAAGCCCATCTAAAACTTCTGATTCTTCAACATCAACTATGAGTGCTGCTGTTATATCATCAATATCAACTGTGAGTGTTGGCATTATATCTAAATATCAATTACAGGTACTGTTAAGTCCTTAAATACTGACAGCAGTGTGGTGCCCCTTCAAATGATTATGTATGCAATTTATCCATGCACAGTACATATATCTAACCATAGAAATTGTCAGGATTTACTGCTTGGTAAAACCCATGTATGACTACAATTTCATTATTATTATTATTATTATTATGTATAATCAAGGGGGAAGCGCTAAACCAGTAGGATTACACAGCGCCTAAGGGGGAAATGTAGAAGGAATTCAGGCTTAATTCAGGGAACTGGAGCACAGATCCAATTCCCTATATCAACTATGTCACGCTTCTTTGCATTTTTTGGTGTCTTTTTATATTATTTATATTATTTATTATTATTTATTTATTATTTATTATTGTTTATTATTATTTATTATTATTTATTTATATTATTTATTTTTATATTATTATTGACACAGTTGCTTTTTGCTGATAATACTGTGCATATGGGAGATTCTAAAGAAAAATTGCAAAGGTTAGTGGATGAGTTTGGGAGTGTGTGTAAAGGTAGAAAGTTTAAAGTGAACATAGAAAAGAGTAAGGTGATGAGGGTATCAAATTATTTAGATACGGTGGACCCTCGACCAACGATGGCATCGTATAATGTTAAATCCGGCTAGCGATACATTTTAACGCTAACATTTTGCCTCGGCAAATGCTAAAAAAAACTCGATTAACGATATTCGTTCTCGGGTACCAATTAATATCATTAGTCGAGGGTCCACTGTAAAGAAAAATTGGATATTAAATTGGGGAGGAGGAATATGGAAAAAGTGAATATTTTTCAGATATTTGGGAGTTGACATGTCAGCGGATGGATGTATGAAGGATGAGGTTAACCATAGAATTGATGAGGGAAAAAAGGTGAGTGGTGCATTGAGGTATATATAGAGACAAAAAATGTTATCTATGGAAGCAAAGAAGGGAATGTATAAAAGTATAGTAGTACCAACACACTTCTATGGGTTTGAAGCTTGGGTTGTAAATGCTGCAGCGAGGAGGAGGTTGGAGGCAGTGGAGATGTCCTGTCTAAAGGCAATGTGTGGAGTAAATATTATGCAGAAAATTTGGAGTGTGGAAATTAGGAGAAGGTGTGGAGTTAATAAAAGTATTAGTCAGAGGGCTGAAGAGGGGTTGTTGAGGTGGTTTGGTCATTTAGAGAGAATGGATCAAAGTAGAATGACATGGAGAGCGTATAAATCTGTAGGGGAAGGAAGGCAGGGTAGGGGTCGTCCTCGAAAAGGTTGGAGAGAGGAGGTAAAGGAGGTTTTGTGGGCGAGGGGCCTGGACTTCCAGCATGAGCGTGTTAGATAGGAGTGAATGGAGACGAATGGTATTTGGGAAGTGACGAGCTGTTGGAGTGTGAACAGGGTAATATTTAGTGAAGGGATTCAGGGAAACTGGTTATTTTATATAACCGGACTTGAGTCCTGGAAATGGGAAGTACAATGCCTGCACTTTAAAGGAGGGGTTTGGGATATTGGCAGTTTGGAGGGATATGATGTGTATTTTTATACATATATACTTCTAAACTGTTGTATCCTGAACACCTCTGCAAAAACAGTGATTATGTGTGAGTGAGATTAAAGTGTTGAATGATGATGAAAGTATTTTCTTTTTGGGGATTTTCTTTCTTTTTGGGTCACCCTGCCTCGATGGGAGACGGCCGACTTGTTAAAAAAAAAAAGTAAATAAATAAATGTCACCACTGGGCCTAAGATTAGTGATAACAGCCAACCAAAAAGAAAATTGGTTGGGAAAAATAAGTTCTGTACTCGAACAGATCGGTATGCAAACAGCCATCTGGAACCAATTAAGTTTGAGTACCAAGGTTCCACTGTAATTCCAAAATCTCAACCGTTAGCAAATATTTTATCACATACATGTCACAGAAAGTAGTTTGTTAGATTATGTATTGGTGGATAAAAGGTTAATGGGTAGGCTTCAGACAGTACATGTTTATAAAAGGGCAACGGATATATAGGATCATTATCTGGTTGTAGCTACAGTTAGAATAAGAGGTAGATGGGACAAAGAAAAATGGCAACAGTAAGAGAGAGAGGTGAAAGTTTATAAACTAAGGGAGGAGGAAGTTAGGGTGAGATATAAGCAACCTTTGGCAGAAAGGTGGGCTAGTGCAAATATGGGTAATAGGGGGGTTGAAGAGGGATAGGATAGCTTTAAAAATGCAGTACTACAATATGGGGCAAAAGTTTGTGGCTATTGGAGGGTGCATGCAGGAGGAAAGAGGAGTGATTGGAGGAATGATGAAGTAAAGGGTGTGATAAAAGAGAAAAAGGTAACTTATGAGAGGTTTTCACAAAGCAGAAGTGACATAAGAAGGGCAGAGTATAAGGAGAGTAAAATAAAGGTGAAGAGAGTGGTGAGAGAGTGCAAAAAGAGAGCAAATAATAGAGTGGGAGAGGCACTGTCAAGTAATTTTGCTGAGAAGAAGAAAAAAATTTTGAAGTGACATAAACAAGTTAAGAAAGCCTAGGGAACGAATGGATTTGTCAGTTAAAAACAGAGTAGGGGAGTTAGTAGATGGGGAGCTGGAGGTATTGGGTAGAGTGGATAGGGGAGCACTGTGGCAGATGATGCAAGTGTATGGAACAGGTAGTAAGTTATTAAATGCTGTAAAGAGTTTTTATGAGGATAGTGAGGCTAAAGTTAGGGTGCGTAGGAGAGAGGGAGATTACTTCCCAGTAAAAGTAAGTCTTAGACAGGGATGTGTAATGTCACCATAGTTGTTTAACATATTTATAGATGGGGTAGTACAAGATGTAATTTCTAGGGTGTTGGGGAGAGGGGTAGGAATAAATTACAGGGAATCAAATACAAAATGGGAGTTAACACAGTTACTTTTTGCTGATGATACTGTGCTTTTGGAGGATTCTAAAGAAAAGTTGCAAAGGTCAGTGGACGAGTTTGGGAGGGTGTGTAAAGGTATAAAGTTGAAAGTGAATATAGATTAGAGTAAGGTGATTAGGGTATCAAAGAATTTAGATAAAGAAAAATTGGATGTCACATAGGAGGGTGGGAGTATGGAAGAAGTGAATATTTTCTGATATTTGGGTTTTGACCTGTCAGCAGATGGGTTAATGAAGGATGAGGTAAACTATAGAATTGATGAAGGAAAGAAGGTGAGTGGTGCATTGTGGTATCTGTGGAGACAAAGAGCATTATCCATGGAGGCAAGGTAGTTAATGTATGAGAGTATAGTGGTACCAACACTTCTATATGGGTGTGAAGCATGAGTTGTAAATGCTGAAGCGAGGAGGCAGCTGGAGGCAGTTGAGATGTCCTGTCTGAAGGTAATATGTGGTATAAATATTATGCAGAGAATTCGTAATGTGGAAATTAGGAGGTGTAGAGTTACTAAAAGTATTAGTCAGAGGGCTGAAGAGGGGCTGTTGAGGTGGCTTAGTCATTTAGAGAGAATGGAACAAAGTAGAATGACTGGGAGAACATATAAATCTATTGGGGAAGGAAGGCAAGGTAGGGGTCATCCCCAAAAAAGGCTGGAGGGAGGGGGTAAAGAAGGTTTTGTGGGCAAGGGGCTTGGGCTTCCAGTAAGCGTGCGTGAGCGTGTTAGATAGGAGTGAATGGAGACTAATGGTTTTTGGGACCTGACGAGCTGTTGGAGTGTGAGGAGGGTAATATTTTGTGAAGGGATTCAGGGAAACTGATTAGTTGGATTTGAGTCCTGGAAATGGGAAGTACACTGTCTGCACTTTACAGGAGGGGATTAGGATACTGGCAGTTTGGAGGGACGTCTAAACTGTCGTATCTGAGTGCCTCTGCAAAGACAGCGATTATGCATGAGTGATGGTGAAAGTGTTGAATGATGATGAAAATTTATTCTTTCTTTTTGGGTTTTACTTTCTTTTTGGGTCACACTGCATCAGTGGGAAACGGCTGATGTGTTAAAAAAAAAAGTCACTAAGGCAAGAGAACATCCTACAGTGATGTTAGCACTTGTATTACTGTCTTTTTAAGAACTATTTTCATTGCCTTCACGTGTGTATCACTCATATCATTTACCAGTATAAACTATAAGTACCCATTCAGGATTTATTTATTTATTTATTTATTTATTTAGTAATTTTAGCATACATACAGAGGTACAAAAGGAAATTCAGGATAAAAAGAAACAATGTCAAACCATACGGAAAACAAGAGAGGGAAATAAATTTATGATGATTTTACATAATATAAAAACACCAAACAGATGAAGTACTCTCAAAAAGACTGGAGTTGAACATTCTAAAAGAGAAGGAAACTGACAATGTGTTTGAAACCAAATTGGAAAAACATTCAATGTAAATGAGGTAGCATTCAAATGGTAAATTCAGCATACATTACCAGAAGTGGAAGGGATAATGGTCCGTGTTATTGTGCACTTGGATGACGAAGGGCATTAGATAAAATGGATTGCCAGGATATATGGCACCAGTTAGGACAGGTCACTCTCTGGTGGAGTGATTGATTGCATGTGTGACAGGGCTTCTAGTCACTGTTCAATTTTTGCATTAATATCAATTTAAAAAAATGTTTCTTTTGCTTCAATGCAAACTTCAGTTTGCAAATACATCTAGTTAAATGAACTGACTGATGAAAGAGCAGCTTAGAAAGAAAATTCGCACCAGGTCACATTAGTGGCAGAACATAATGTAAAGACAAATTCCATTCATAAATTTAAGACTGTGTACTTTCAAAACATTGTGAATTAACTTAAGAGATTTTTCATGGGTACTAGATTAATGCTACACTATATAAGAAAACCTATTGGATTACCAAAGAATACACATTATACACACAGCACATGTAAGAAGAGACTCTGAAGTCGGTTGATGAACATTCGCAAGTGATGCCGCCCAGCTGGGTAAAAATGCCACGGTTCCTGATGTCATTAAGTAACACTTTGCAGCAGCAACATTAGCAGAAGTAGAGTCTCGCAATGCAGCTAAATATACATTCCTGAGGAAAAATAAGATGACACTTCTTATATGACTTCCCAAACAGGTCACTCCAGACACACAGTATAAAGCTGAATACAGTCAAACTCAAATCACAGGCTTCCTTATTTGCATGTTTTAACTACCCAACTCTAACTTCAGGGTCTTCCACAAATAGCTTCAATTATTCATAGGGACTTTTGTGGTGCCAATTTCTTTAGAGTGCAATACATGACACCCTAAACTGAAAGCTAACTATATAGGCACTCCTCATTTAACGACCTACCTGTTTGATGACTGTTCGGACTTACAACCAGCTCTCTGACCAGTCGGTATTGTATGCTGTACAAGAACATTGGTCATGAAAATGGCAGCATGGCCTCTCATTGTCAAGCAATCTATAAATTTGTGCTTTTTGTGCACCTCATAGTACAAGATAGTGTTGGAAGTGCAGCAGCACTTGGAAAAGGAAGAAGAAAGAATGGAAGTACAAAAAGAAGTTCACTGTAAATGGGTTAGCTGGTGTGTTCTTCTGCTTGTTTACATTCTTTGAATCTCTCATTCTTTCTCATTTACGATGGCATCTGAGGGTAGTTGTTAAAAATGACTGAACTCAGTGAACAAGGTATGTCGATGATGGTAATAATAATACAGCCTCTCTTCACTGAACGACATATTCGTTTACCGACAACTTGGACTTACAATAGGCTCTTTGACCAGTATGAATACCTAAATAATGCATATTAGAGCTGATTTCCTCTATTCTGTTTATTATAATGTACAGTACACTACTGTATAAACATTTAAAAATATACTAAAAATGTATAAATTGTGCAAAGTGACATTAAAACAATATCAAAGATGGCTGACACAAACCCACTACCGCTATAGTATGCTCCTTGCTTAGCGATGAATTCGTTTACAAACGTGGTCTTAGGAACAGAACTCTGTCGTTATGTGAGGAGAGGCTGTATAATAATCACTCTAGGGTGCTTTAAATGTCATATATTTTGCCCAGTTACCACACCTACATGAAATATATGATTTAAAACACCCCAGAACAACTAATATTATTACTATTATTACCATTGACATAACTTGTTCACTGAGTGCAATCATTTCTGACACCTACCCTCAGATGCCATTGTAAACGAGAAAGAACGAGAGATGCCAAGAATGTTAATAAACAGACGAACACACCAGCTAACCCCTTTACAGTGAACTTCTTTTTGTACTTCTTCCATTCTTTCCTCTTCTTCTTCCTCTTCCAAGTGCTGCTGCACTTCCAACTCTATCTTGTACTATGAGGTGCACAATGAAGTACAAATTTACAGATGAAATTTGTAGTCTTGGAGATTGCCATTATAAACGAGAGAGAACGAGTAAATGAGAGACACCAAGAAGGTAAACAAACAGACCAGCTAACCCCTTTACAGTGAACTTCTTTTGTACTTCTTTTTTCACAATAAATACTCACTTTTTTATTGTTTTTAATCCCTAGTTCTATTTTTAATATACTAAAAGTTATAAATGATGCAAAGGTAACATTAACACAATATCTAAACATGGCTGACACAAACGCACCACCAGTACAGTATGCTTGAAATATCAGTAAGGGGCCTCCTCACTTACCAACCAATTCACTTACTGATCTACTCGTAGAAATGGAACTCAGCCATTAAGTGAGGAGTGCCTGTATGATTTGTTTTAAAATACATGTACGTTCATTGGCTTTCCAACACTGAAATGAACATGTCTTTCAATCTTGTCATTTGTTCATATAAAGATTAGAGCATTATTTGAGAGACATGACCTCTGAAAAACAAAATGAGCTCAAATCTGAAAAAAAGTTTATTATCCAGACAAAAATTTTGAACTTTTTACTGATTCTATATTTGTGGTACTTCTAGAAATTAAAACCACCAACTTGGGGGTTTGGTTGTACAATTAGTTTTAAGATACAGTGGACCCCCGACATTCGATGGCATCTGTATACGTTAAATCCGGTATTCGATACATTTTAACGCAAAAATTTTGCCTAGGAATTTTTATTGACCTAAGAAAAGCTTTTGACACAGTAGACCATGGCATCCTACTCCACCAACTTGACCATTATGATATAAGAGGCCATGCACTTGCATATTTCAAATCTTACCTTACTAATAGGTATCAGTATGTCACCATTAAAGACACAGCATCAACAACACAGCCACTTGATACTGGAGTTCCGCAGGGAAGTGTCCTTGGTCCCCTGCTCTTCCTCATATACATCAATGATCTTCCAAACGTATCTCAACACCTGAACCCCATTCTCTTTGCTGACAACACGACTTATGTCATCTCTCACCCTAATCTTGCCACCCTCAACACCATTGTTAATGAGGAGCTGATCAAAATATCAACTTGGATGACAGCCAATAAACTTACGCTTAACACTGACAAAACCTACTACATTATGTTTGGTAGCAGAGCAGGAGATGCGCAAATTAACATTAAGATCGACAACACTCTAATTGCCAGGCATAATGAAGGCAAATTCCTAAGCCTATACCTCGACAACAACCTGAACTTCAGCACCCATATCCAACACATAACCAAAAAAGTATCCAAAACAGTTGGGATCCTCTCCAAGATATGATACTACGTGCTGCAAACTGCCCTTCTCACACTATACCATTCACTTATATATCCATACCTCACCTATGCTATATGTGCTTGGGGTTCAACTGCAGCAACACACCTAAAGCCAATAATAACCCAACAAAAAGCCGCAGTAAGAATAATCACTAAATCCCATCCCTGGCAACACACCCCCCCACTCTTCATAGATCTAAACTTACTCCCTGTTCAGAACATCCACACTTACTACTGTGCAATCTACATCTACAGGACCTTAAATTCCAATATTAACCTTGACCTAAAACGCTTTCTTGATAGTTGCGACAGAACCCACAGGCACAATACCAGACACAAACATCTCTATGACATTCCCTGTGTCCGACTAAACCTTTACAAAAATTCAATGTATGTCAAAGGCCCTAAAATCTGGAACACCCTACCTGAAAATTCTAAAACTGCAGACACATTCATCACCTTCAAAACTACCATCAGAAAACATCTTATCTCCCTGATACACCCTGTCAACTAATTACACGAATACCACCTGGTGGTTAACACTTACACTCACTCACCCATTTGACCATAAACAGAAATATCAATCTCAATCTCAAAATAATGAATCTTAACTAGTCATAAGTTGGCCTGTGATACTCCAATACTGAAACAATGTATAGTGCCAAAACAAAAGCATTCACATTGCTAAACTCACAAACTAGTATTTAGTCACTTAGCCATAATACCAACTTACCTCATAATTTTGTAATATTTTAAACTTAAGATTTAATTTAAATCTGCCCGAAATGCCTAGCCATGCTAGGTGTTCTAGTGGTACACTCTGTAATTATTATTTTACTACATGTAAACAATACAATAACCAAATTCTGTAAACTCAGCATTGTAATCCTTATAGAGAATAAACTTTGAATTTGAATTTGAATTAAAAAACCCGCCACACGAGATTCGTCCAGGATGCGTCCACGTGAGTGCCAGTGTTTACAAGCCAGCCAGTGTGCTCGCATCTAAGCATACATTCGGTACATTCCATATTATCACAGTGTTTTTGGTGCTTGTTTCTGCAAAATAAGTCACCATGGGCCCCAAGAAAGCTTCTAGTGCCAACCCTGTGGTAAAAAGGGTGAGAATTAGTATGGAAATTAAGAAAGATTTTGAAGGGTTTGGGGCTAACCCTGAGAAGCCTATGCCAGTTATGGAATCCATTGTGCCTACTTCAAAAATTAAGGAAATGTGTGCAAAGTGGGTTGAACTGCAAACCTTTACGGATGAAAATCACCCTAACACAGCTATTGCAAGCCGTGCTGGTGACTATTACAATGACAATGTTGTGGCCCATTTTAGACAAATCGTAAAGGAACAGGAGGTACAGAGCTCTATGGACAGATTTGTTGTGTGACAGAGGTCCAGTGACTCTCAAGCTGGTCCTAGTGGCATTAAAAGAAGAAGGGAAGTAATCCCGGAAAAGGACTTGCTACCTCAAGTCCTAATGGAAGGGGATTCCCCTTCTAAACATTAACAACTTCAACACTCTCCCCTCCTCCCATCCCATCAATCATCACCAGATCTTCATTAAAGGTAAGTGTCATGTATTCTATTGTTAGTAGAGTACTACTAACTATGCATGTCTTCTTCAGTTTGTGTGCATTAAACTTAATATTTCATGTGGTAAAACTTTTTTTTTCATAGTACTTTTGGGAGTCTTGCACGGATTAATTTGATTTCCATTATTTCTTATGGGAAAAATTAATTCGCCTTCCGATAATTTTGGCATATGATGAGCTCTCAGGAACGGATTAAGATTGTATACCGGGGGTCAACTGTATTCTGAAACCACTTTCCTGTCATACATCTTTATATGTTTTTAGTTGCTGTCTACCAACCCACTACCTGAATGGTCTCTCAAATTTACTGGATCATGAGCCCTTGACTAGCATCAATGCACACCCTTTGAAAAGATATAAGAAATACAATTATTTTTCCATTAATTATTTAAATTTCGACTGTGGTGCAATGGCTGCCTCTGTGTATTGGGACATTCATGAAGGACCCAAGAATACTGAAGAATATCTGAATGAAAATGTATGAGATCATACCATAAAGTGGAGTTATACAAGTGCCTAAGTCAAGAATGCCAATGTATTACTGTAATGTATTATAAATGAGATTTTAATCAAAAGAAATAGGAACAATGACCTTCAGGAAAACTCAGGTAAATTATAATGTACATTATAAATGAAAGTTATCTATCAAGAAGAAAATTACCATTTACACTATATTATTTCTGTTTATCATCAATTATATGATAGCTTGAAGAGAATGAATTCAACTATAAAACATATTTTGAAATTATTTTCAGGATGGTACCTACTAATACCCTACTTTTGAACTACTGTACTATCTTACGTAAAACATACTCAGTTTAATCACTTTAATAAAACTGATAATATACAGTGAAATTCTGAATATTAATTCTAGAATCTAAATAAAAATTTGATACATCAGATAATAACTCACAGCACAAACAAAAAAAATCATTCACGTTGGGCATTTTCTACCATTTATAATTAGGTAATGTAGTAAATTTTGCAAAATTTTCCCAGTGATGTATTTCTTATCAATGTATTTCTAAGAAGAGTTTACCTGGAGTTTACCTGTAGAGAGTTCCAGGGGTCAACGCCCCTGCGGCCTGGTCTGTGACCAGGCCTCATGGTGGATCAGGGCCTGATCAACCAGGCTGTTACTGCTGGCTGCACGCAATCCAACATACGAACCACAGCCCGGCTGGTCAGGTACTGACTTTAAGTGCTTGTGCACGTGTTTGACTCCTTAATATTCAATATTGCCTTTCACTTGCTTTGTGAAAATTATATTCATTTCACTTCAGATATTTAAACATTTCCAATTGCTTCAGTAATTTACATTTTGAAAACAAAATACAGTAAGAAGTAAAGAAAATCTGCTTGACAAGAAATTTTGCTATATACTGTTCTACCTGTCAAGGTTAATTACACTGAGATTTTGTTTCACATAAAGTTGCAAATGTATAAAATACAATGAAAAACTAGGTATTTCCAAGACTGACCTGACCCGTTGGTGATTCGGACAGAACTTCCCAGTGTTGACCTCTGTATATAGTTGAACTATCATCTCTTTTGGGAAGTATTTCAATTCAGATACTAAGCGAGGATATGTAATGGCCGCCTTAGATGTCATTCGCTGGTTCATCTCTGCACACAGCTCATCAAGGAGTCTGTGTACTCTTATGGTGTGCTCCATTATGGACAGGGAGGGAAACACAGCTTTATCCAAGTCAAGCTCATGCACATTCACTAAAAAGAGCAAGAAATGATAATACTCAAATTATTAACATTTTATGAAATAAAAATATTCCCAATTACCCTCCTGTAGACTATCATAATAAATTGCTTACTCACCTTTATCTTCAGTAAAGTGCATCTCTTGGGGGTGTACTTCCATAAGGCTAAGATTCAGGGTTGAAACAAAGATGGCAACATCAGGGAGAGTGAGGCTCTGGCTGCACATCACCTTGTCCAAAATAAGTTTGCTACCTTTTGTCTGGTAGTGGTGATGACACTTCCAAATCTGAGGAAATCCACAAATCCAGAATCATTTACATACATACATAACACATTTTTTCTTTTGTGTTTTTGGCATTATTCTTCGGGCGTCATCATCCCCATGATCATTACCTCACCTCTCACTTATATGGACACAAGGCATTAGGTAAATAATATGGAAAAGTAATAGAAATCAATGGTCAAAGATGTTAAGACATCCAAAATAACCCTGGTCTAATCACAGTACTTTCTACACACAGTAGGAGCATCAATAACCAGCACTAAGCATCCCACTAGGAAATCATCCACAACAGTAACTAATCTGTTTCAAAGACCGGGTGTAGTTCTCTTCATAAGCTATTACACACAAGATGTCAAATTGTACATCCTTTTGAAAAACATGATTCTACTCATCCACACTCACTATCATTTATTGTGCACTCTTCAAACTTAATCAACATCTATTCGGAGAGAGACTCATTCAACATATCTGTCTGCCTTTCCTCCTTTTCAACCTCAAATTCACTGTACACATTTTTCACCACTATCATCAATTTATTCATACTTAACCATACGACCTAGCACTGTCATAAAACTAGTCACTAGTTTTCACATTGATAGTTTTACATTATCATTCTCATTTTATCTGACTTGATCTTATACAGTTCCTGTTTGTCCATATCCCCTGTTTTAAGTGTGCAAATACATGCTGAAAAAGGAATAAAATACCAGCACAACGTACTACCATGTTAATCTAAGATTAATTTTTTTTATTCTAGCTCACCGCATCATTAGTAAGTGTTGAAATGTGACTGGTGCCCGGGAAGTGTCCACTGCCATTGCTGCCACGGCACCGAGTGAGGTCTCTAGCCCGTACAATTTCGTGTCCACCAGGCCATGTTTGGTGAAGGTGGTAGTGTGTCTCACACTGGCCAAAGTGATCAACCTGTATGACCAAATAACTGTATTATGAACAAAATAAACAAGTAAAAGAACAAGGAAGACATACATTATGAATGTACCGATGTACTGTACATGAATTATAAAAATCTAAAAGAAATGATGTGGAGGGCAGAATGAAGTGTTGAAATATTGCTGAATTAATACACCCAGTCATCTCCAGGAGCTGTAAGACACCAACAATACTGTGGTCAATCCTTTCATAATGAACCCCTGGCTATAAAGTTTCCTTTTACTGTCCTTAATTAACAAGGAAAAAAATCTCCCTCTGCCTCAGATGAAAATTCACACACACATGAGCTATTAAATCTCTGCACCATGTTCACCTTAAACCAGCAAATATTAGAACCTACAAGACTAGAAAATATGCTGGACCTCATCATCACTAGCAATGATGATCTGATACATAATATAACCTTATCAAAGACAATACACTCAGATCACAATATAAAAGAAGTACAGACATACATGCACTGGGCTCCTGACCAGCAAAATGTAATCCATTATGAGGGAGCCTTCACAAAATTCAACTTCAATAACAAAAACATACAATGAGAACAAGTCAACCATATCCTAAATGAAGCAAGCAGGGAAGATATCCTAAACAACACAGGTCTGAACCTTTGCCTAGAAAAAATTAATTCTGTGGCACTTGAGGTCTGCTCAAGGCCCATTCCATTAAAAAAAAACGAAAGAGAAGATGTTGATGAAAGAGAGAGAGATGCTCCCTATACAGGCGAAGGCAAAGAATCACAGAACTGCTAAGAGGGGCCAGTATATCTGAAATATGAAGGGAGGCACTGGTAAGAGAAATAGCAAATATCAATCTTAAGCTTAAGTAATCATACAGGAGACAAGAATCTCAGGAAGAACTAAAAGCCATAGAGGAAATTGAAAGAAACCTAAAATACTTCTTCTCTTATGCCAAATCTAAGGGAAAAACAACATCCAGTATTAAGCCTCTGCTTAGGTGAGATGGGACCTACACAGATGACAGCAAAGAAATGAGTGAAATACTAAAGTCCCACTACGACTCAGTGTTCAGTAAGCCATTAACCAGATTAAGGGTCGACAATCTTTAAGAATTTTTTATGACCGAGACCCAAAATTTGGTCATCTCATAATTCTCTGATATTATCCTAACACCACAAGACTTCGAAAAAGCAATTAATGACATGCTCAGGCACTCTGTCCCAGGCCTGGACTCATGGAACTCCATGTTCATCAAGAACTGCAAGAAGCCCCTGTCACGTGCCTTAGCATTCTATGGAGAGGCAGCATGGACACAGGGATCATCCCACACTCACTAAAAAGAACAGACATAGCCCCACTCTACAAAGGAAGCAGTAAAGCAATTGCAAAGAACTACAGACCAACAGCACTAACATCCCATATCATAAAAATCTTTGAAAGGGTTTTAGGAAGCAAGATCACCAACCAACTAGATACCCATCAATTACACAACCCAGGGCAACATGGGTTTAGAACAGGCTGCTTCTGCCTGTCTCAGCTACTGGACCACTATGACAAGGTCCTGGATGCTATAGAGGATAAACAAAATGCAGACGTGGTATATACAGACTTTGCGAAAGCCTTCAACAAGTGCGACCAGGGTGTAATGGCGCACAAAATGCATGATAAAGGAATAACAGGAAAAGCTGGTAGATGGATCTATAACTTCTTAAATAGAACACAAAGAGTAATAGTAAATAGAGTAAAGTCTGAAGCAGCTACAGTGAAAAGCTGTTCCACAAGGCACAGTACTCACTCCCATCCTATTCTTCATCCTCATATCTGACATACAGAGATGTGAGCCATAGCTCTGTGTCTTCCTTTGCAGATGACACCCAAATTGCCATGACAAATGTCCTCCACTGAAGGCACTGCAGGCATCAATCAAATTTTCAAATGGGCCACTGATAACAATAAGAAGGTCAATGAAGAGAAATTTCAACTACTCAGATATGGAAAACTTGAGGAAATTAAAACTGTATCAGGGTATACAACAAATTCTAACCACACGATAGAGCGAAAAAGTAATGTGAAGGACCTGGGAGTGATAATTAAAGAGGAACTCGCCTTCAACGACCACAACAATGTATCTACCTAAGCTGCTAGAAAAATGATAGGATGAATAATGAGAACCTTCAAAACCAGGGACCCCAAGCCCATGATGATTCTCTTGAAATCACTTGTTCTCTAGGCTGGAATACTGCTGTACACTAACTGCCCTCTTCAAGGCAGGTGAAATTGCTGACCTGGAGAGTGTAAAGAGAACTTTCACGGCACACACAAGTATGATAAAGCACCTAAATTACTTGGAACGGCTGAAGTCCCTTGATTTGAATTCCCTGGAACACAGGTGAGAAAGATACATGATAATATGCACTTGGAAAATCCTAGAGGGATTAAAACTGTCCAAATGTAGATCTACGTTCACGTGCATAGCGCTCTGGCCTTGATCTTCCCCATTTGAAAGCATGTAAAAAAAAAGTAGATCTACATTCAGAGTCCCCTGCACATGGACGCAGATCTACGTTTGGACAGTTTAAGGGTTAACCCTTAAACGGTCCAAACGTATATATACGTTTTTTCAACATCTGAAAGTATGTAAAAAAATGTAGATCTTTTTTGTTTTACATTTGAAAATGTGTAAAAAACTTTATCTACATTTTTTTTTTTTTTGTAATATTTGAAAATATGTAAAAAAAAAGTAGATCTACTTTTGGAGCACTATGAATTTGAACGTCGATCTGTTTGTACCGTTTAAGGGTTAATACCAAACTTGCACACAAAAATCACTCCCTACGAAAGCAAGACTCGGCAGGAGATACAACATTCCCCCAATAAAAAGCGAGGGTGCCACGAGTATGCTAAGAGACAACACAATAAGTGTCAGGAGCCCAAGACTGTTCAACTGCCTCCCAGCATACATAAGGGGTATTACCAACAGACCCCTGTCTGTCTTGAAGGTGCTGTACAGGCACCTAAAGTCAGTACCTATTACGAACACAGGTAATAAATGGCCTATGAGACCTGGTCGTAATGGGAACTGAAGCAAACAAACTCAGCAGTAGACTATAATGAATATTTGCCTTCACCCACTATATACAGGTATGTACACTATGTACAAATAGAATAATAATAATAAGTGTACACCACGGTGACAGATGGCAAAGCAGAAGCCAGAGAGAGTGCACTATAATCAACCAGCAGGTAGGCAAGTCTGCCAATGCTTACCGCAAGTGAACCACATTGCTTCAGTTTTGGCGGGCTTGCCTCTGATTGATCAATGAACCAAGATAAGATGCTGGGTGGAAGTCTGTAAGTCACTGCTATATAGGATGAGGAGAGGGCCCAGAATGGTACTTTGAGGATATCTTATTTAAATGACAGTGCCATTTATAGCATCCTGTTGATGTTTGTTAAGCAGGATTTGAAGTACTGTATACATGTAAGTGTGCCCTCTGAGTCCACAGTAATTAAGTTTGTGTAGAAAAATAATGAAGTCAACTGTATCAAAAAACCTTCCAGAGATCAGTAAAAAGTCCAACAGAATTCTTATTTCTCTCAAGTGCTGCATAAACTGTATCAAGCATTTTTATTATTCCATCACTAGTGATTTTTTGGGTCTGAATTCAAAATGGAGAGGAGAAAGTACATTACATTTAGCTAAGTATGAGTAAAGCTGCTTGTAAATCACTCTCAAATATTTTCCATAGTATGGGTAAGTACCAACATTGGTTATACCATCACCTTTGTGGATGGGTACTATCCTCGCTCTTTAGAGAAAGTCTGGAAATGTGTGTTCTTTAAATGAATTGTTGAAAAGTGCTGAAATAGGAGAAAATAATATTTATGGAGCTTTCTTGCAGATAATGGTAGGAATTTTTTCTGTGCTACTACCACAGGAAAATCAAGCTATACAGTTCAAAAAAATAGCTGTAAACAACCTTAGCATCCCAAAAATATCCAGTAGCACCTGTAACCTGAGTCCAACCAGTAGAGAAGCTAGTCCACTACCTACAATTTCCACCAAAAAAAAAAATATCTTGCAGTCTCCAAGAGAGAAAGATTCTCACAGCCATGTAAGTCAGAACTTAAAGACCACATAAAACCCAGGAATAAAGAATTGGAACACACCACCTGATGGGGTCCTTGAGGGATGGTCCAGCAATCAGCATTTAGCAGGAAGTAGTGGCCCCTTAGAATAAGGTGCTTTGGGGAGGGAACAGAATACATACATTCACAGAGGTCCTTCTTGAGTAGGAGGGGTCACCCTGACCACACAGGAAGAAACCATGAGGTAGGGGACAGAAGATAGTTGCCTTGACCGATGTTGGAGCCACCAGCAAGGAACCTGTAAACTTAAGAGACATGCTTCAAACATGCTGAAATGAGCTTTGCACATGATCCTCAGGTAGCAACTTGAAACTGCACTAGGAAGGGCACATTCTGATTTGTGTCCGGATATCGCCAGTAAAATGTAAGTCACAGAAACTGCTTAAGGACAAAATGGATGGGCAGATTATATTAAACTAGATATTGAGACACGAGACATGAGAAATTAATTTTGAAACTTCAAAACCTAGGAAGAATAAAAAGGTAAATTATTAAAGTGAATTAGAGCTTTTCCATTTGAGAGAAAAATGCAAAGCTATAAGAGGAAAAATGTCCTCGTAAGGAGCCAAAAAAAACTTGTACTTTCCCCAATAATGTTTTTAATTTATACACCGTAAGGAATAAAAAATTATATGAATATGTTTGCAGATGATGCAAAACTATTAGGACCAAAATATAATAAAAATGGCTAAATCTCTTATTAAAAAAATGCATATAATATAAATTAGGCCAAAATTTGAATGTGCAGCTGTGGCATAGTGCCCACACTTTAAAAAAGATATGTGGATAAATTAAAAAAAAATAAGTTATGATGAAAGCCTGAAACCACTAAAGATGCCCATGCTGGCCGAAGGGAGAAAGAGA